ATCACTATGGGTATTCTCAATCCTTGTACTTAATTTCTCTATGCCTGAGTTTTGTCATCTATAAGGAAAATAATAGTAACACCCTTACACATTCATTTGTTCAACATTTATATAATAAATTTACTGTGTAGAAACTATGGGCAGAAGTAAAAGGTTATCTGAATTTTAGTCTAGACAGTTGTCACCTTTAAGTGAGGTAATGCAAATAAAATATGGGAGTAGAAACTGCTAATGATTTCCAATAGCTATGTTTCTTCTTTCCAGTCACACAGTTAGACTATATTTCCCAGACTCCTTTGCTGCTAGATATGGTCATGTGATTTTACCCTGGCCAATGGAATATGAACAAAAGTATAAGCTTCTTTTCCAGGCCCGTCCTATGCCTCCTCTTCATTTTCTTCACTCATCAGCTAAATGATGAAGAGAACTCAGAGACAAAAGGAGAGTTCAGTCACCAGAGAGAAGGAGCCTTGGTCTCTGAATGACTGTATGGAGCCCACTGCCTTGTCAACCAGATAAGAGCAATAAATATACTATTTGTATTAAGTCACCAGGGTTTGAGGGTTTATTGTTACAACAGCTAGCATGGCTTTAATATATATCCATAGCAATATCTGCCCTATTGCATGTAATAAATGATTGGTAGGATTTCTTTAAAAAATATATTCCAAGTTCGTTTGCTAAGTAGGGTCTCCTCCCTGCCCTCCTGGGCTGCAGCTCTTGCTGGTTCCAGCTGCCCTATCCCCTTCTCTGGCATCAGGTCACCATAGCACGTGCCCTGGATGGGCTGCCTGCTGACAGAGACAGAAGAGCGCTTTGCCATGATGGTACCCAAGCAGATTGTAGAACTGGGAGAAATGCTCCCATTCATAATAAGGTCTCATCAACATACAGATGGATGTCACCTTTGGGCCTAATCTCAGAGTGAGCCGAGGCCACCTCTAGGCACTACCTGTGCACACACGACTCAGCCTGTGCCTAGAGGACATGCCACCTCAGTATTTCAGTAAATGAAAGTGGCCCTACTTGCTACTTAAAAGTCAGTTCTCCTTGGTGGATCTGTAATTACAGATATAACTCATGCTTGTGGTAGTGAGTTAAATATGTGCAGAGGTATAAAGAGAAAAAGTTAATTTTCCTTTCTCCCTCCCACCCCTGTCAAATAGTCAGTATTACCAGTTTGGTGATTCCCTTCCCTGCTTATTCCATCTTGAGACAAACCAACACACACTGGAAGGGCTAATTTCACCAACTGTAGTGATTTTTTTTGCCACACGAATACAGTTATATGACATACTTTTGAGCTGAAATTGCTTGATTTCACTGAACAATTTATTATGAATCTCCTCCCCCATGGGTATATTTAGTACTAACCTACTCTTTTTTAACTAGATGTATAATAGTGCCTGGAAGAAACAGCTGGATTTCAAGACATCCTCTATTTTAAAAGGTTAATAATAGTGGCTGATTTTTTTTTAAAGACAATGAAATTTTAACTAGATTGATTTATATTAGGAAATATTCTGACTTAACAAGGGCAAGAGTAAGTCTTGGAAGGTAGAAAATTCTTGAAAACTCCCTGTGACAAAGTACTCTGAGGGTGAATCTAAAATCAGTTCCCATGTGAGAAACCGGGGTCCTACTAAGTCTTGGTGCCAGGAGCCTGTCCCACGTAGGCCTCCCCTCTAGGGAGCAGGTCTGGCCTGAGCTGACACTCAACATTTCTCTTGCATTACTCTGCACACACAGTTTTCGTGCCACCTCTTAGATCTGGCTTGCCAAGGGAGGGAGGGAAGGAGCTCCAGGCATTAGCATGCAGGTCACGCACTCTCTTTGTTCTCCAGGCTGAGGTCAGATGGAATAGATCAATCAGCCTCTACATCCATGCAAAGTCCTTCAGTGTCTCCTGGAGCCTTCCAGCCTAAGTGTGTGCTGCCCATCTTTTAACTGCCTTAGAATCAGCAGGAACAAACAGAACCAAAGAACCCCTTGGGGCAATAAGCAGCTACTCCCAGGAACCCGTCCACTGTGGGTGTCCTCTGTGTGCTCCCAGGGTGTTTGCATCAGCTCAGATTCTTTGAGATTTAGGACAGCAAACTGCTAAGAGGAGATACCACTTTTGATCTACCAGACCTGGTAGATCAAACTTAACAAACAGCATATCATGCTCACTGTTCCCTAGGAAGTAGGTATTCCTACATCCTGCAGACAGGAAGCTGGCCTAGCAGAGCTTGTGATTTGCCCAAGACCAACTGGTGTTAGGATAAATGCAACACAAAAGTGCACTTCCTCATTGAGCTACACAGCCCATCTGCAGAGGACGGTGTTTTTGATCCCTGCAACTCCCTGCAGGTGTCCTGGCCTCCCATCCCCAGTCATGTTGTTAATGGATTTATATTTTTCAGGCCTCTGAGTCCAAGAGACTTGTATCCTCATAGGGCCCTGAAAGACACAGTTACACACCACCCTAGAACTCAAAGAGACAGTCACTCAAATTCTCTGTCTGTTCAAATCCCCAAGTGCGTGCACAGGGCGCCTTTCAAACCTACTCAGGCTTTCCAGCCAGAATGACAAGGCTTTAGTTGTAAGTGGGCCCTAAAGATCATCGCACCCAGCCCTGTCACTTGACAGGATGAACCAGGATAGTGGGTATGTCTGGCTGGGGCATGGGAGCTGGTGGAGGTATGGGAGAGGAGGGGTGGCAGAGTACTGAAGGAGTGGCTGGAGGCTGGATAGGACATGCTTTGCAAGCCACAGCCTGTGGCCAATGCAGCTCTCCACCTTTTTTTGTAAATAAATTATATTTGAACACAAGCACATACTTTCATACAACATTATCTTTTTTTTTCTCTTTAACGCTACAACAGCAGAGCTGTTTGGCCCCTCACACGCACACAAAGTATTTTCTGACTCCTTCAAAACAGAGGCTTACAGGTAGATAGGTCACACCTGAGTGCATAAAGGCACATTTAAATTCACAGGTGTTCGTTATGTTAGGGTGACTAATGCAGATATCCATCGTACAATGACCTATTTGGTTAACAACTGTTTAGACTCATCACCTGCCACTTGGGTGTATGACCTCCCTTCAGACTTGCAATGCAGAAATGTGAGTAGCAGTGCGGTTTTAAGGTGGCTTCATCTACAGTATAGCACTGGTTTTTATTTTCTGATTGTACCGTACAGTGCAGTGCTGTAGTTTTGCTCAGTACTGTAGTTTTCTTCCGTTACTGCACATAAGAGTTAGTAATGCAAATAAAAGCAAAGTCCTTAAGCTGGAGTTTCCTTTGACCATTTCTTTGTTCTGAATATTGTCATGTACATACTATACACAATGCCTCACTTAGCAATGATTTCATTTAACAACTCAGTCCCAAGAAAAGAACTCATTACACAAGGAATGTCTGTAACTGTGTTACAGGTGGGCCACTGAAGGTCATGTATGACAAGGAAATGTTATTATGAAATTGTGTGTACCTGAAAACAGCTCCACAGATGGAAAGGCAAGGAGAAAGGAAGGAAAGAAGGAGTCGTCATCGTTAAAGTAAATGGCTTTTCATCACCTGACCTACTTTGTTACCTGGACCTGGCTTTTCCCCTTTGTATCTGTGATACTCAAAAAGTGCTGTGGAGAGAGTTGCAACAGAAGGCAGGCCAGGTAAGCGGGCTTTCAGGAAGCGGCAGGATAAATACTTGGTCTTGTGTGGAGAGGGGCTTGGTCAAAGGAGAAAAAGGTCCCCTTGAGAAAGGTCAACACCCCATCCTTTTCTCAGGAGGCCTGCTATGTGCCCATACCTCAAGTCACTGTAATCTTCCAATACAAGCAGCTCAGAAGTCCAGGAACAAGTTGGGGATATAGCTCAGCAGCACAGCACCTGCCTGGCAAGTGCAAGGTTGTGAGTTCGATTCCTGGTACCAAAAAAAAAAGAAGCCCAGGAACGTACTTTTGTGGACATTCATTAAGAGACTCTGAGGCTGACTATGTAGCTCGGTAGTAGAATACTTGCCTCACAGCTCAAGGCCCTGGATTCGGTCTTCAGTGCTGTGGCGGGACCACTCTAGGCCATTACAGGCATTATTTTGTTTAACGCTGGGCACAATCTTGTGAAATAAGCACTGCTACCCTCATGTTAGAGATGATGTCCCCCGTGGACAAACACAATTCAGGGGCGGCTTATTCCCAAGCCCATACTCACACTGCCTGGAAACAGGGGTTCTCTTCAGGCCGGCTCAGTGAAAGCATGGTTTTCCCTTACAGGCAGTCCCTCAGGGAATGTGCGGGTGTTGGAGAAGGGCAGCTTCAAGCCCTGAAACTCTCCTCAAGAAGTGGCAGGGGATTTGCACATTCAAAGCACTGGTTCCCATCCCTCGCGGGCAAGTTCCCAGCAGCTTCAATTAGAGAACAGTCACAGTTCACTGATGCCTGATACTCACGGGGGCAGCTTTATTATTTTATACGTGAAAAATGAGGAAAGGGCCAGACCTTCAGCGTTGCGGGGATGATGAAAGATGGAGAAGTATTTCCAAGCTCACGCTAACCAAAAGGTCAATTCAGCTGGACGGAGGGGGCAGGGAGCAAGCAAGCAGCTGAGAAGTATTTGTGGCACCAGGGAGAAGAGGTTGTGATGTCCACTAAAGGAAACCATGGCTATGAATTTCAGGGTATCAAGACCCTGTCAACACAGCTAATCCCCACGGATGTTGGCTGAATAAGCCTTCGATGACCAAAAAAGCCCTCTGTGGAAACCATGTCAGCCTCCAGCAAGCCAATTTGTCCTCATATTACACACTCTGCTGGCTCTGTTGCTAGCCCCCCAGACTGAGGATCCCCCAGCCCGATGAGGTTGACACAGCATGGTTAATAAGTCAACAGAATTCAGAAGCCACGACCGGATTAAGAAGCCTGTTTTATTTTGGTGCCCTGGACTTCAAGCAGATTAAATAATCAAAAAGGCCGAGCCACTGGGGTCATGTTTGAATGCTACAGCTGTTCACCGAGGCCTGACAAACATTCTTTATGCGGCTCGCCATCTGAATGAGAACAGCAGGGATGAGCGGGCCGGGGGTGGAGGGGAGAATGACACTTTAAGAAAGAGAAGAGACACAATCAAATGATCCTCTTCTGGAAAGCAATCCCAGCCAGATGGAGACAAGGGGACAGGCTGCGTAAATAACTGGTCTGCCGAACACTTTGCTGTTTTCTGAACAAGCAGGATTCAGGAAAAGTGAATGAGAAGCTGGGCTCCAAGCTTCCATGCTCTTGGTTCGCTGATCTGTGAACTAATAAGGGTGGGCTACGTGTGCAGCCCAGGGATACTCAGCCATGAAAGGTAAGCCCGATCGATTCTGTCGCCCCTCAGAGGAGTTCCCTGGTTGAAAGAGGGAGGGGATTGCCTCAGAAATGTGTCAGTGGGAAATCTATATTCAAGTCGTCTTTCTTAAAAGGTCAGGCAGATGTAAAAAATATCTTTGGGAAGATTTATGGTTTTACCACTTTGGGTGTAGAGGAAGGGGCTGGAGACGAAAGTATGCAGCCGTGATGCAGATACGCAATTGGCAGGTCACGGGCCATTTCATACAAACATGGCGCTAGGAGTCGGAGTTCATATATTATTCCCTTTGGGGTAGGGGTGGAACCAAAGAAAGAATGAATAAACCAGTCCTAGTTTTAGAAAGACAAGCCTTTCATTAATAGATTAGCAGATTCTGTGGAGAACATGTTCTCTGGTTTAACAATTGATTTCCTGCAGCTAATTAATGCTCTAGCCCCACAGCTATGGTCAGGGGTGTCAGTTTATTTCTAATGAGAAGGTGTTTTAGCTTTGAAAGGAGTCATTTAGATTGTTTGCAGAATTATAGGAAGTAAAACAAGGATCTTGCTCTTTTATGTTTTGGAAAGGAAAAGGGAACCATGATGTTTGGCATGCTTAAACAAAAATAATCCAAGTAGCACCTCTTTCATACATCTGTCCTCTGGCCCTATGGCACCCGCCTGAACCCCAAGTAGAAAATTCAGGAACAAAACAAACAGGTTCAGGGTCCTTGGTAGCCATGTTGTGTATTTCCCATAAGTCCCAAACCAAACAAGTGACCTTTCTTAGCAGCATCTTATGAGTAGATAATTCTTTTGAGTTTTGAATATTATTGTGTGGCCTTCTGAATTCCTTTACCAATTTAACAAAATGCCCTTGACAGATGTTTGGCATATTTTGAAATTTAATTCTCAAGGAAAAAGAAGGGAGTGATGTACAACTTTGGACAGACATCTAGAAGTAGCTACAGAAATGAAAACAGGCACCCTCTCTGAGCCCTACAAAGAGACCCTTTTTGATTTCAGGACCCTCTCCCACACTCCCACAACAAAGGAGTTCTTAAAGAGACTGGTATTTACAGCACTGCCTGTAATGAAGGGAAAACAAAAAACCACAGCAGCCCAAGTGCCCCTCAGTCAGGCAGTGAATAAGTATTAAATTTGGGGCTGGGGATTTAGCTCAGCGGCACAGCGCCTGCCTGGCAACAGCAAGGTCGTGAGTTCAATTCCCAGTACCAGAAAAAAAACAAAGAAACAAAAAAATATTAAATTTGACATGGTCTCACCACAGAATACTCTATAGCAGTCAAAAGGGAGAAATTAGTTTTCTATGTGTCCATGTCACAAGATCAATTTTGAGTGAATAAAACAGATTCCACATTGAGACATGCCGATGATTATATTTATGTGAATGCTTGCAAACCATTCTACAAGCGTGTGTGTGAGTGTGTGTGTGTGTGTGTGTGTAAGTATTTGACAGGCAGTGGAACACAGCAGATAAGAATTCTCACAGACTCTGGAAGCAGTCTGGGATCAAATCATGGCTCTACTACATGTGTGACCTTGGGCAAGTGAGTTTGTCTCTCCGTGCCTCAGTTTCCTTACCTTTAAATGGTTACCTACTACTGTTCTTTATACTATTGTTTGTAACATCCCTGGAGTAATACACCAGTAGTGATGGGAACAGAGGACTCTTGTTAGAAAAGAGGTGACTTGGCACTAATCAAAGGGAGGTTTTCTGTATTTCTAACGCATTATTTATTTTAGTAAAAAGAAAGAAGAGGAAGGGTGTATGATAACCTGTGGATGACTGGCACAACTGTTATAGGAATGCAAATGTTTATTCCATACTAGGGATCAAATCCAGGGCCTTCACACGAGCTCCATCTCCAACCCTTTTTTATATTTCGAGACAGGGTCTCACTAAATTATCCAGGTTGGGCACAATTTGCGATCTTCCTGCCTCAACTTCCCAGAGTTCTGGGCTTACAGATGAGCACCACCATACTCGGCTTTGATGTTTATTCTATTATACTTAATACTTCTATGCACTGTAAAAATATCCTGAATAAAAAGAAGCAGAGACATCTTTGGGATTATACCTGTGAAGACGGACATCAATTTGTAGGAACACTTTAGACCTGTCCTAGCCGATACAGTAGCCACTAGCCACATGTGGTATTTTAAATTTAAATTAAATACAAATAAAAATTCAGTTCCTTGGTTGCAGTGGTCACATTTCAGGGGCTCAGTAACCGCATGTGGCTAGTGACTCCCACATTGGACAGCAGATGTAAAACATTCCTATCATCACAAAAAATTCCTTTGTACAGTGCTCCTCTGAGCACACTTTGCATAACTGTGAACATCTGCAATCCTCTGTCACTCAACTGTATGCCAGCCCCACATATTTAAGCTGTATCCTGCAAAGGGCATTTGTCCCTGAGAGATTTTTTTTTAATGTTCTGTTTGAGGTCCTTAAGTGTCCTACTGTTTGATTATCAAGGCACTGAGAAAATATCTTTTCTGGGGCTCTGACAATAGTTAGCACAGACTCTGCAGCCATTATCCACACTGGGATGTGCTCGGTCCATCCTGACTCTGCTAAAGGTGAATGATACAATTTTTCTTCCAGGATGGAGAAGGGTACCTGGCTCAGAATCATATTACCATGAATTCAAAGGGGAAAAAATGCTTATCCCCTTCCTTAAACACTGGCTCCCATCCCAGGTTCTTTCTGTTTGTCTTAGGTGAGCTGCTGTTGCTTTCAAGCATGATCTTCTTACTGCAGGGGGCCTGTGGCTGCCCAGAGAAGTGCTTCTGTCACTCATCTTCAAACTCTGTAGACTGCAGCCGCCAAGGTCTGGCTGAAATCCCTCCCGACCTGCCTCCTGAGACACTAACACTGCTCCTGCAAGATAACCAGATATGCCAGCTTCCTGCTCTTGCATTTCGGAGAGTGCCACGGCTCAAGATCTTAAATCTGTCCAACAATTCCCTTTCAAACCTGGCCCCGGAAGCTTTCCACGGACTTCAGCATTTGGAGGTTTTAAATCTAACCCAGAACTCCCTGCTTTCCTTGGAAAGCAGACTTTTCCATTTTCTCCCGCAGCTGCGGGAGCTGGATTTGTCATCCAACAACATAAGCCACCTACCCCAGTCCCTGGGAGAGCCCTGGGAGAATCTAACTGTATTTGCAGTGCAACAAAATCAGCTTCAGCATCTCAGCCGTGAGCTCCTAGAATCCATGCCCAGGGTGAGGCTGTTACTGCTCCAGAACAACCTCTGGAAATGCAATTGCCACCTGCTTGGTCTTAAACTCTGGCTAGAGAAATTTATCTATGAAGGTCAGTAATGTCTATTTGGAAAGCCCCATGTGTGTGTCACTAGCCTAGGATGAACCTCATGTGTTCTCTGCATCAGCAGAGGAAAGTGCAAGGGGCAGCTTTAAGCTTTTTCATATTGATGTCATTTCAAGATATGACAAAAGAGACATGTGAGTCATTACAGCGTATTTCAATGCAGGTATTAACATTCATCTACAGATCTGATGCAGGGAGATAGCTTTCTACTTGCCTGAGTAACACAACCTGAAGTGACTTATCTGGGAAGTACACACTTAAGAAAGAGGAACTTCAATTGACACCTAAGTAACTGCTCAACCCTAAAGGGACACTAACCTTTAATTTTCAAGTGTGATGCAACTGGGGGCAAGGCTGTCACTCTATGGGACATTTTACCCTTTGTCTGCTCCTACCTATCTGACAGCAATACTTTTCCCACAGACAATTCCTTCTGCTTTAGTGAAGCCTATTGTTATTGCAATTGGGTGCATTAGGGTCTTTCTGAGAAGTTACTCTTTCTTTAACTAAATGCTTGAGGTGTAAAAGCTCAGAATATTAAAGATGAGGAGCTCTGGATAGCATCCAAGGGTGAGAAAACCACCGACTGAGAGCTGAATCCAGCATCTCTTCTACATACTAAGTGGCTGCTTTGCACTATAGGACAAGGTTGGATAGTTGTAATAGAGACTGTTTGGTAAAGGTAACAGTGCTTACTATCTGAGAGCTTTGCAACCTCTATAATCAATAGGAAACAGGGTCCCAAGGAAGTTCAGCAGCTCACCCAAGATGAAAGCATAGATGACAACAAGAAGCACGGAGTTCTTTTCCATACCCCACAGTGTTTGTCTGAGCATCATTCATTTATACACTTGAGTGCCTTCTATATGCCAGGTACTATTCTAGGCATTGAGAAAAGGGCAGTGAGCAAGATAATCTTACTATCATGAAGGTTACATGGGGCCAGCAGAAGTAGATGTTAAGTAAGTTTGTGAGTAAAGCTACACATTCATACAGCAGTGCGGAGAAGACGGGGATGTATGCAGAGTGGTGAGATGGAGAGCTGTAGAGAGGGCAAACAGGATGGACAGGGAAGGCTTCTCCCGGGAGGTGACATGGAAGAGCAGAATCAAAACAATGAGGGATGAGCCCAGAGATGACTGGGTGGGCTTGTGGGGAGGACAGTGAGTGCTAAGGGACTGATTAAATAGGTGTCTTGGTTCAGTGAGGGACAAGAGAGGGCTAGAATAGCAGAAGGCAGCAAAGGAGAGAGAGGCGAGGCGGGTCAAGTTCCCCAGGGGCCAGGTGATGTAAGAGAGCACAGAGCAGGCTATGACGTCAGCATTTGATCCTAATGAGGTGGAAAGTTCCAGAGGAGTTTCAGCTAGGGGAACAGCCAGGCTGACTGGGGAGTGGGAGCGGGCAAAGGGAGAGTGTGAGGGGGGCCTTCAGTCAGAGCTCAGTTAGGGCTCACTGGAGATGCCAGGCACGTAGACAAGGGGAGCTGCTGAGTTGTTGGTCAAATACTTGAACCTGTGGCTCAGGAGGATATGACAGCTACAGACATAAGTTAGAGAATCAATGGCATCTGAATGGTTGCAGTGGTTCTCAGAGGGAGGTAGGTTAGAGTACAGCATGAGTGCAAACATACAACATAGAATCTTGGAGCTTCTCAACACTGTAATTGCAAATAGTAGAGCACTAACCAGCCAGTGTTCAGGTTCACAAGGCCAAGTTCGAGGATGACAGCAGCAGATGTATAATGTGGGATTCTTCTGAGAGGAGGGTGTCAACCAAACCAAATCTGCCTGGACATGAAGCAGCCTGAGCTATTGTGTTCTGGGTTAAATTGTACACATAAACCAGATAATAACACAGTCTTCACCAAAAAAGAACATTTCTTGAAAGGAAAAAAGTTCCCAAGCTAAGACATTAGAAGCAGTGTGGGATGGGTTGAAGGTTCCCTGCTCAGGCAAAAAACTTGCTGGTGGCCTTTGCGCAAATTAGTATCTTTCAGTAGCACCAAGTAGTATGGCCAGATTTAAAGTGAGAGTATTAAGGAAGGCCTTTCTGGTCCTCGGGTTTGGGTGATGCTATTCACCCTTCCTTTGTGGTCCAGTGCAAAAGCAGAGATTACAGTCAGTCTTCAGAGGAAGGGAAAATTAATTTGGACTAACAAGATCTGGATGCCACAAAATAGCTAGAAAAACCTCCCCAAATAGATGCTACACATGGGAGATATATAATGAACATAATGAGTAAAGGCAAAATAAGGGAACAGATGTTAATTAAAAACTTCATAAACAAATACAAATGATAGAGGTATTATATTAGGACAGGCTAAGTGATATGACACCCCTAGATATCAATCACATATGCATTAAAAGCTTTTGTTTACTCATGTTGGAACCAGTGGATTGGGGACCGGGTCTTCACTACAGAGAGTCAGTCAGGGACACTGGTGATGTCACCAATTCACCACTTGGCCCTTACAGTCACCATAAAAGGGAATAAAGCCCATGGAGGATTGTGCTGGGGATGTTGGTGCTCTTTGAAGTGGCATTTGTTGGTTTCATTGGCCAAAACCCAGTCATATGGCCCAGAACATTTAATCATGTGGCCCAGTCATATGGCCCCAAACTGACCAAAAAGAATGGGAAAATTTAGTCTTCCTGTAGGACTAAGGGCAAAAAGATGTGCTTTGGTAAATACATAACATTATCTCCTCTGCACAAACATGCACATAGATTCTGTAATGAATATTCCTCTTTATTCATAAGGAAGCAAATCTTTTCCATGCCCTAGATGGCTTTATCAAACCTTTACTCCGGGCTGGGTATTGCACTCACTGCTTGGCTTAGTCTATCCATGCAAGCCTCTGAGCAATCCTGGGATGTGAATTTCATTATGATCCCCCTCTCAGTTCTTTCCAGAAGTGCAAGCAAAGGCACAGCATGGTTATAGAACTTTTTTCAGGGTTACACAGCAAGTAACCTGCTGGCTCAAAATTAGAATTCAGTTTCTTCTAAAACAGAGATTAAATGAGATCAGTGGTCAGATGGGTCAGAGAGAGGCTTGGCAAGTGGAAGCTTCTGACACTGTCAACTTACACAAGTGGAGAAGGGAGTGGGACCCTCAGGCTGCAATCAGCAGATTTTTGCCCCTGGGGACATAGTGGAGCCCCTGAGATAGTGGAGGAGAGCTGAAAGGCAGCTCCTGGCTGAGGACATAGCTGCAAAGGAGGCCATGGAGATGGTGGGAGGAACAATCTCTGCCTTTCTGCCATATCCCAGCACCCAGTCCGTGTTATTTCCTTGGCTCTGGGTCCCAAGGCTGTGGATTTCACTCTAATACTGAGGAGCAGGAAGCATGGATGGGTGAAATACACTAGACCTGGGGTAACTGAATGAACCACTCAGTTTAGGAATAAATTGATGGAATTGCCAGGCTCCAGCAGGCAGTCTTCTTCCCTTAGTAGAAGTCTCAGTGCTGCGTGGCCAGATTAGATATCTTCATTATTGCTCAAAGCTTTATTTCTGTCTCTCTGGCTTTCTGTCATGCAATGGACTTCCCCAGAGAGGCTCAGATGGCCAGATGCAGAGGCATGCAATTGTCCATGAGACAATATCCCCAACCTCCACGCAGCTGGATGGCATCCTGTAACTCTGGCCTCATGAAAAACTGGTTCTACAGTGGGGGAAATGCCTTTTCTACCTTTCTGCCTTAGAGTTGAGACCCCTGCCTGAAGAGCTGCTGAAGAAGCCAGGAGGGGCCCAAGAGACTCTGGTGGTGAGTGGTTCAGTTTTAAATGATGCCAGAATAAAGGGCACGGGTTGAATGTTGCCACAGTCACCATCCCTGGTATGCCTGGGCCACACGATAACATCTCACTCACAAGGGCACTTAGGACTTGTCTCAAGAGACTTAGACAAAATGGATGTGAAAGCATACCCCACTCTAAAGTGCTATAAAATGGCAGGTGCTAATCACATTGAAGTAACGACCATAGAGTGTTCTTCCTAGTGTATTTTCATAATTTGCCTACTGTGTGTAGTATAATCCCAACACTCTGGGAGGCTGAGGCAAAAAGATCCTATGTTCAAGCCCAGCCTGGGCAACTTAGTGAGAACTGGTCTTAAAATAAAAAATAAAATGAGCTGGGGAGGTAGCTCAGTGCAAAGACCCTGGGTCCCCAGTACAAAAAACAAAAAATCCCCAGGGTCATTTTGTCCATGTGGGTGTCAGTCTTCTTAGCTATTTGGGAGGAGGTTTTCATAGCAGTCCAGGAAAAGCAGGCCACAGGTCATGGGTAAGTCCTGCCAGTCAAAGGGCTCTTCACTCTGCTGGCTGTTATTCCAGAGAGGAGGAAGTAGAGAGTCACTGACTGTAATGAGAAAACCTGGGGTGCATACGGAGGGCTAGGTTTGCGTATTGATTTGTCCACTCGTGACTTCTGTAAGTTTGCACAAGAATTACTCACCAGAGCAGAATATGAGGGTTTACCTAACAGTGATTTGCATATTATCAGATTTGATACAAATATAATGGTTTTATGGCAGAGCATTTCATCAGTGATGTCCCAAAGTCAAATAATATGTCAGTTGCCAAACGAGGCTAGAATGAAGTAGTTGAGTCCAGTGCTCTTTCTAAGAAAGGAAGAATCACTGAGTATCCAGTTGCCCCAAACACCAGAAGTCTATACCCCTTAGGAAATCAGTCACCTTACAAGGAATGGAAACTGCATTCAATAACTCATTAGACAGTTTGGTATTCAAGGTAGTAAATGTTTTGAGGCCTGAGGAGATGCATGAATTACACTTACTCCCATCAACTAAACAAAGAGATCAAGTTGTCAGTTACACACAGCACTCAAAAGACTGTTCCACCTCTCCATTTGGCATCACTGAAAAGTGTCAGTAGACACATAGGGTCTTTGTAAGAAACCCATAACAAATGTTCACAAGAATGGACATTTGTTTTACGCTTTTGTTAGATTTCCGGTTGGAATCTGGCACAAAAGATTTCTGGCCTGGCAGGGCTCATTAACGGAGTGGGCAGCAGGAATACAAGGGGCTACGGTACCCTCCATGTTAGCCCCCGGTGCTCCCTGTCCGCTTCTGCACTGTTTTCCCTTGGCTTCTGTATACGGTAAAGGTAACTTGGCTTCTAATGAATTCTTGGTCGTAAGTAATTGCCAATTTAGTGTGATGGCGTTTTTAGCATTTAGCCAATTTAGAAATCCTGAAGTCATAAAATGTGGTTGTTAAATTCTTTGACTCCTGGAAAAGCAAAAAAGGTACTTTATAAATGCCATCTGCATAAGTTTTGCAGGCTGAGGATTCTGAAGATCAGTTGTATTCGGGCTCTGTTATCAGCCTTTGTTTTTATTTTTTAAAGGGGGAATAACAGACGGCATTGTCTGTGGGTCACCCGACCCCTGGAGGGGGAAGGATCTCCTTAAAATCCCCCACGAGCTGTACCAGCCCTGCCCTCCTCCTCCTCCTCCAGAGCTAGTGTCTGCCCAGGCTCCGCAGCACAGCTCTGAACACGGGGAGCTTCGCAAGCCTCCTGAGGACCACATCCTGGGCCTGCACGATACCTCAGAGTGTGCGGTCAAACCCAAACCAAGGCCTGCCAACCTGCGTCATGCCGTGGCTACTGTTGTGATCACCGGGGTTGTGTGTGGCATTGTGTGCCTCATGATGCTGGCGGCTGCCATCTACGGCTGCACCTACGCAGCCATCACAGCCCAGTACCACGGCCGACCCTCGGCTCAAACCAGTGAGTCTGGGAAGACAGGAGGGAAAGACCTGTTTGACAACTTGCCAGCCTAACAGCATGCACCTCGAAGAGCAGTGAGCATCACAGGCTGGACAAAAGGCCTGAGTGTCACCTGTCATTGTCTCATTTTGCTTTTTCCAAAAGGTAAAAAAAAAAAAAAAAAAAAAAGCGTCTTTAAAATGATGTTCCTGGGAAGACATGTATGTTGAAATTTTTAAAATACCACAGATTAAATAGAGATGCACCCTGGTCCAAGAAGTTATGACTGTGATTCCATGTGGGGGATGCCATACACAGAGAAAGGGAAGATACTATTTCTTGCAGGTACCCTTCCTGGGATTAAGTTGCTTTGCAGAGGAACAGGAATTCCAACACACAAGCCAATCCACATTCTTGGGAGCTTTAGGATCCCTGGAAAACCACCGAAGTTTGAGTGCCTAGAAGAGGCTGGTGATCTTCCCTGAGGGGCATTGAATGCCTCTATAATTCAAGTTCATGCTAGATTGGTGATACTTTCAGATGTTGTGTATGTCATACATTTAATAGGAGCGCCTGTTAGTGGGGAATTTTCTAGCTTGCCACAAGAGTCAGGTTATATTTAATTTTTTAAATCAGAAAACCATTTGGGGCTTTCTAGGCCACAGAGGAAGAGGGGGTTCCACGTCTGGATAATGCAACTCAGGCCCAGAGTCTGGGGAAGTTTTCTGATGCAAAGGTAAAGAGTTTTCAGGCAAACACAAAGAGGATGGGGAGCCAGAATTCGAGGCAGATATTACCAAAAGCCATATCCACCAAACGACTGTAACCTTCCATTTATAACTCTCACAGCAGGAACGAATTTAGGTTACGCTGAAAGCGAGGTAATGGCTTTTGTGTATCTGCATCTACACACATAGTGCACGGAGTGCACAGCCTTGTACAACCACACCCACACATAAACAAGCCTGGAGAAATCAGTTTGCCCGCTAATGAAATGCAGCCGTGCTGGGGTGGGAGCCAGCAACTGTTGATCACCACCCAGATTGTCTACTCAACACTCCGGGATAGGAAGTGAGAAGGAAGTCTGAGGAGAGTGAGAATTACCAGGAGACTTGAGATACGTGGTGGCAGCCTTCCTGAATGTTATTTAGGTCATGGCTCTAAAAAATCAGGTGTGGATTGCTTAGTCCATGGACATGGTCCTGAAGAGTTGCATGCAGAGTGAATTTTTGTAAATTGAATCATCATTTTAATGCAGTAGGGGAGCTCGCTATTTAAAGGAACCTTTCATGGAATCTTTCTGTAATGGAAATAATTGACTCCAGATTTACACGTTTTGTAAATTTGCATTTTCTCGTGCTAGGTTTTCTTAAAGTGGCATTTACCTGTTCTCTCTCAACTCATATTTACAGTCATTTCTTAGGATTCAAATTATTTTACACAGGAAAAGAGCACAGAGGTGTTAAGGACATGTTAAAAGTAGGAAATGGCAAGTATAGGGCAAGCTGTCCCTCCACAGCCATGACAGACATTGCTAATCAATCCCAGCTCTCCTCCCAGCTGAGCCCCAATGCACCACAGATGGTTCCTTAAGACAGCACTGTAGGCAACCAGAACTAATCAATTGGAATTGGTTCAAAGGATAAAGCACATTTGCCATTCAGGATACTGGCTCTACATTCATTCCTTAAGGCCATGTAAAAAAAATTGGTTTGGATGCTAAATCAGTAGTGCATTCCCTACCTTAGCTGGAATGTGAATGGAAGGTTTGCATGTGTATAGGATGGACCGATGTAGCCCTAGCCTTGTCCAGTGGTATTATGAAGGCACAGGGAAACAGATGAACTGCACCCTACTGTGCAGGACTCAGATCAGTGCATCTCTAACTATCACAGAGGCAGTCTGAACCTGCCCATAGTGAGCCCTGGACATGGGCCATCTTTTGGAAGCAGCAGTTTTGCTGAATGAGTTTCTCTTGGGGAATAGTTTAAACTTGAACGGTGTTTTTTCAGAATATTAAAACAAATGAGAATACATTAAAGGATAGATTTTTAAAAGATCCTAGGGAAGGCCTGCTGTTGTGTAGTCACTCCTCCCCACTCTGCCGTGTGGGTCACTTCAATGGGCAAGGCTCAGCATCCTGCTCTAAGGAAATAGCAAGTCCTTTCCAGGCAGATAAATCCTTCCTTTCCATTGTTCTGGACTATGAAGCCAGGGACAAACCTCAAGAAGAGAGGGGGAACCTAGCAGATCGTTTTATTCTTAATTCTGACTTCACCAAGAGTTCTCAGTGCGCAAGCTGCACAGCAGGCACGGTGCAAGGCACTCTTGTGTGATCTTGATACCCGCCCACGAGCTCCTTGAACAACCACTGCATAGTTGGGAGCTACTGAAACAAATACGGTGCGCATCCCCCGACTGCAGCAATTTAACACTGCAAGCACTCTGTACTCTGCCAAAGGTTTGGTGACACTGCAGGTCAACCCTGTCTCCTGCCCACAGAGATAACATGAAAAAGTTGCCAATATCCCACAGAATCCCCTGAACAGAGCTAGAATCCTCACTTGTCAACACCCATATCCTTTTAGATTTCTCAGGGCAGATGATAACTCAGGCAAACAGACTTCCAGCTTTATGGAGAGTCTTTAAGGAAAATGATTAAAATGATGCATACATACATCAGATTTCTATCTATTGCCTACAGTCACCACAAACAGCAGTTGGCAATGAAAATAATTACGTACTCTGAAATGTCAACAGCTTCTCAGTGCAGAAAAATATAAATCAAATTGTTTAGATTAACAAATGCAGAGTTATCATTTGTTAATATGAGGAATGAAATGTTTTAACGGTAGAAAAACACTGCAAATGAAAGACCCAATTTGGAGTGTATTCTGCAAGAACCACAAATTATCTTTCACAACCACTAGAGCTCATGAGGGGTAATTTGCAAACGCCTCATAGATTATTTTCAGCTGTTTATTGCCGCTGTCATATTCATAGATTCCCCTATAAAAATGTCCTTCCACATAGAACCATGCGGAGGATACACTAAGGACACAAATCACAACTACTGTTTATTATTTCTGAGCAAATCCTCTAAAATATCATTTTTGCATCATATTTAGTAGAAGTGACTGACTACAGACAGCTGATTTTTGTTTTGCCAGAGATCACAAGGTCATAAACAGCCACCGTAGTTGTCAGCAGTGACGTGTATAAGGAGGGGCCAGGAGAAATGGACACTGCTCTGGAGATTTTCAGGCAAAAAGATCCAGCACCAAGTGTATGTTTGAAAAACATGTATAATTAACTAGATATCCTTGTCCCTGAAGGAAGATTCTCTGGCTTAAGATTATAAAATGTTAATGAAATAGTTGTCTTATTTGTCCTTATAAAAATGGAAGACTGAGAAGTTATTCACAGGTGAGTTTCTTTCTGAATATGCATGAAAATCAAATGTCATTATTCAAGTTGACCAAGTAATGCTGAAAAAAGGCACCATTGTCTCAGATCTCAACTATTAAAAGAAGTGGCTAAATTAATTTCCAAAATAATCTCTCTGCTGTAGACATTCATATAATTATATAATGGCTGTTAAATCTTATAAATTTCTATTTCAGGTCAGGAAATTACTCTCTCCAGTTTGGTAAAACACACTGGTCTATCCATTGCTAAATGTTATTGACAGAAACTTATCAGAAAATGATATTCCAAACCTACTTGGCATTTCTGGGCTGTGGTTTATATGAACAAATCCAGGGAACCATCCTGTTTTTCCTTCTGATGAAATGCTTTATTTTTTAATGTTCAAATGGCAATGAAATCCCAAAAATCCCTTATCCCATTCAGGGGAGCTACCTTTAGCTTCAAAACTACTACCTTTAGATTCTTGATGAACTCTGCGTACCAATTTCACTCCAATGATGCAAAATATTCTTTTGGACGGTTAGGATGTCAGCCAGCTGTGAAGGGCCATCAAACAGACACCAAAAAAGAATCAAATAACTGGGAAGCCAGGAAAAGCCTTGAAGAGAATTTAATCTAGGCCTGGCAAATTTCAGAATAACTGCCACAAACCCTCCGATCCATTGCAGACGTTGCTAACAGATCACACAAGCTTATCTGCTGAACACAGACAAGGCCTCAGAATCCTTTTAAATCTGTTTTCCAGGTACCCTCAACTGATCAACTGGAATTGACATAAGAGATTAAACCTATTTGCTACCCTGATATAGTTCAGTGCCCTTAGTTTACAGATAGGAAATAGAAGCATAAAAAAGGAAAGGAACTTTCCAAAAGTCACACACATAATTAATTGCATGTTTGATAAGTGCAGTTGCAGATGCATGAGGTAAGCATGAATAATACAGTCTTACCCCAACATCCTTTATTCATTCTGTGGTGAACCAGAATATCTAGACTGTGACATAATTACACTAATTATTAGGATAATGACAATTAGAGCACACCATCCACATTTGTTAAACATCCAACTTTGTGCCAGGAATTTTCCAAGCATACTAATTCTTTTCTGTAAACCTTATATTGACCAAAACATGTAGGCATTTTACTGCGTGTTACAGACGAAAGGACATTATCAGAGAGCTGGCCATTTGGCCAAGGTCATGCCTCTAGTAAATGGTGGAAGAGGATTTTGATGCAGCTCTTCCTAAGGCCAAATCCTGGGTACTTTTGAAAATGTGACAGATTTGAAGAAGTCAGAATCCTTTTCTGGCACTGCCTAACACTTACTTTAAAACATGGCAGAGAAAAGCAATCCAACTGCCAACTACTATGTCACTGCCAGAGCTCCTGTCCCATCAAAAACAGGACAGCTGAAGGAACCAAGGCAAAATGCAAAAACAGGGTCCTTTCATCACTCATGACTCTGCTGGGGTGGTAAGGACATTCTTAGAATGGGAGGGGAAGAAACGCAATCCAACTTTCTCGTAATACTTCAAAAAATGGATAGATTCTACGTTAAAATTCTAGCTAATACAGTCGGTAGGATTTCTCATTAAAATGCTCATTAAAACAAAGAAGGAAAAAGTTCTGAGAGCCCTAGAAATTAGGAATACTACCCAGTGCTTTCCAAGTCTCTGAGAGGAACCTCCACTGTCAAGGCTGAGGTGTGACCTTGAGACAAATGCACAGGGTGGAAAGGAAAAGGGGTGAAGTCTACACTACTGTTCCTTAGGCTGTTTTTCTTTCCTCCAAGACACTGGTTTTGAAAAAGCAGGGAACCATTCTCTAATATGTGT